ATTTCTATCACTGCTGTGAACTGACCACACATAATATGAAGAATATAAAAAAATTCAGGAGTCAGCTGTCAGCACAATTAGAGATAATGTATCAGCGCAATAACACACTCAGCAAAATATTGTCTAATTATCGTTATCGATAAAATCCCAGAAATGTATCGAGATATAATTTTTTGTCAATATTGCACACCCCTAATTAATATTTAATTGATATAATAATTTATTGATAATAATTGTTTAAATTAATATAACAATTAATACTTTTGACTCATCTGTTTTCTTAAAAATGGTTTAAAGGCTGAAATGTAAAGTTTATCATTTTATAAAACTTTTTGTTTTTGTGAAAACTTGTATGTGAACTGTAAGTAATGCTTTTTACTGTAATTTTACAGTTTAATATGGTACTATAGACATTGCCCTAACCCACTCATATGGTATTAATTTTATTTGTGAAGGTCTTAAAAAGGTCTTAAATTTGAGCTTAAAAATCCTGCAGAAACCCTGTGAACCCTACGGTAGTGTCTCTTTCTGTTGTTATGTGTGTGTGTTTTACGGGAGCACGACAGGATTGTTTACAGTAGAGTAAAGTCACTTGCTCCTGTAATCCTTGCTTACTTTGCTGGCGGTTCACTACCTTAGGGGCTTCGCTGACATTAGCACTGGCATTAATGGGAACTGGAGTTGTTCGTGCCTCGGGGCCCAGCTTGGCCTCTTTCGAGGGAACACTTCCTGTGACACACTCTGGTTATGTACCCTCACCTTCAGCCTCAGCATGCTTCATCTCACCTCACGACCAGGTGCATCCAGCAGACAACAGACTGGACACTACGGCTGATTTTCACTAAGTACTTACAGCAGTTTTGCTGTCAGTGTGCTGTTTCTTATGTTCTGTTTCTTTTCCGCCTCCTACAGGACATTTAAGGTACTACACTTTATTTTGCCATTTACTTTCGGTTTCTCTCAGGGAACGCAGTCAAGAAGAACGTGCATGCAGTTCCTATGGGTTATTGATTCCATCGTTTAAATCTTGGAAATATATGTCTGTAAGTGCTACATTTTATACTAAATAGTGCTTTTAAGTGTTGTGTAGATTAAAGTAAAGTGTAGATCGGGATTATTGTTATATTTTGTTATAAACAGACATGATTCGCGTTATTGGTAGCGTACTTTGTTTTAGCGTATTGCTAATTTATCTTCTGTTTGTACATAATCTCATTTGAATATGATTTCTTGACATGTACATTACTTTAAATAACGTTAAAAAAGGAACTATGTACAAAATCGAACTGTAATGTTAAGCTGGATGTGTATGTAAATGTGAACATAATGTTCATACATATTTTTTCTTGTTTGTAGTTTTACAATAAAAGAATTGAGAAGAACAATCACCAGTAAAGTCACTAAAGTTATGAAGACTGCTTTCTGGAGTTCTTTTCGGAAAGTGTACGCTATCTGTTAAGCCTTTGCTCAAGCTACGCAATTGGTCAGAACAGAATAGTCAGTGTATAAAATTGAATGAATTATTGCAAATCTTTTATGATGCAATTACATCAAACCAGCCTATATGCCACTTAAAACAAACATTCTGCTGGGAAAAGGGTTGTATATTAATTGCACCAGTGCATAAATCATTAAAAATGAATGGTGGCCAGTGCATGCTCTTTGCCACTGCAGACATCTTTTTGCACCAATGCACAAACACACAATTACTTGTCCCACTGCGCATGCAACACAAAACCTCTTTCCATGCATCATTTCTTAATAATGTCCATGCACATGGTCAGAGACATGCTATACAAAATTAAGACATTTTCACTGCACAGACTGACTTCTTTAACACAGTCAACACTGGACTACAATACTCTTTGTCTGCATAAAGTTAAACTTTTCTACACAAGTCGCTGGCCAAAATGAAAGACTTTTGATTTTTTTGCTGCAAGTTGCTTGCCTTATTTACAGTTTTCTCAGCATATTAAT